CGAATATGGCACAATATTGCCTCAACGTCAGCTCCACGCCCCTGAGCTGAGCCCACTAACACCTGATAGCGTCAGCCACAATAGGAGAGAGCCTTGCTACCTTTGTACAGAGCCAACCACATAACTGTCAAATGTACCCACTATGGCCTGCAATCTGACCTCGTACGGTTCTCATCCGGGGCGTTCATCTTCACCTACCCCCAGCACGCTCAAGTATAAATAAGAGATAACTGCCCCTTAAAGGGGGCTGAAACAGAAAAACTCCAACATCACTCATTCATTTACTCCTAGTACCAATCTTGTCTTCTTAGCATTAATTTGGGGAGAACTGCTGCATCCGAGGACTCTCTCCAAAGGCTCTTCTGCACCCTTTCCTACTCTTCACCTCATACTAATTTGAGAGTCGGAGCCTTTGCCTCAGGTATCCACCCCAAGGCGGCCTTAACTTGTAATCCTCGAAAGGAATACTTCACCTCGGCTTGTGATCACAGCTTTGGTCAATCTTTTCTGAGGCCCCGGGGTCCCCAACCAACACTTAGAACTTAAAGAGTGAATTTACTTCGTTGCCCTCAACCAATCCACGCGGCAACAGGTTCTATTAAAAGCTCCATATTCAATAATTGAGCATGTGTGCATAGTATGATTGACACTCCTTTGAAATGACTCATTAACACATAAAAACACATTTAATAGTTTATGTAAATTATGACCCACAAAGATACCTTATGAAACATTGGAAAATGGTAATGATTTAAATATTAAGTACCCTAATTAATAGGAGTTAGATACAAAACTGAATAGGAGTTGACAATTTTGTAGGAGATACAGGAGTATGTGTGATTTAGGACATAAGTTAAAAGAAGGAAAAATCATTTACATATACATGTTATCATTTGTACATGATTTAGTTGTAGCTGCCGAATAGCTTCTGAGTTCTGACTCAATTGTTACAAATTTTCTCATCTATTTATGTATGCCTTCCAATTGTGTATACTATATTTTGTTTAGTTGTAGCTGCAAAATAGCTTGGATGTTGTCGCTGCTAAATATTTTGTAATACTCAATTGTTCTTATTTCTTGTATAGCTTGAAGAAGACAATCTGGATTGGCTGGATTGAAAGAAATCAAATGGTGTTGCTCCCAAAGACCTTCTGGTGGAGGCTGAATCAGATAGCAAAGGTTCATATACAGGACTCCGACTTTTGGATTGAGTTATAGACAATGGAGCTACATCTTTCTCTATAGTCCTTGACTGTGACTCCACATTTCCCAATGATAAGATTGGCCCACCCAAACGTTCTGCTTGCTGAAGTTTATTGATTGCACTAGATCTGTAAGTGTACCGGAAATACTTCAGAGCGAATACCGGACCCATCCCAGCCACCACTATAAGCTGAAGCAATATCAGAATAACCATTAGCACAGTTGAAGTTTCAGGCTTTTGTGCAATTGAAAACTACTTAACTACCCAAATATTTCGAGGGAAAAACAAAAGAATAAGATAGTGCATCAAAAGTGATACTCACAAACATAGTTATCCAATAAGATGGCTGTCTACAAAGTCGGAACATGATTGTGTACATTCCGGATGATGGCAGGGTACTGACCATAAAATTGATAATGTAGAAGGCAGCCAAATTTCCCCATATGGCAAGATGTTGCAATATTGTGAAGGAGCTGCATTAATGAAACATAAGCTCAGCAGTGGGTATCAAATAGAACAGTTCCACTGAACTTTCTCATTAAGGAAATGATATTATATATCAAACTCTTTGATATATAACTGATCATTATAATGGATTGAATCATACTTTGTCTCTAATGCTACAACAAAAGCCTGTAACCAAATGCATCCAGAGAGTGCAACCATTGCCACCTCTTCCATCTCACTTTTCTCATAGGCATAGGCATGTATACTGACTATGAAGACAACAATTGCCTGTTAAGTTACTCATTTGTTAGTTCTTCAAAAGTAATAACAAGAAAAGCATCCTCAAAGAAACCAAGCAAACCATAAATTATATTTGGATTCCTCCTTGTGCACCTCCATGTCTATGATAATTAATGAAGGGACAATAGAAAATCAACCTTGACAATTGCTCTTGAAATTGGAAATATAGATATAATCATGTAATTGCTATCAAAATTTGTTTTGGAGTTGCTTCTGGTGGCATGCCTTACAAGAGTGCCTGAAAACAAAACTTGACTGTATAAATTAGTAATAATTACTCAAATTATAAAACCTCGTAATGTTTCATCAATTATTTATTATTGCAAAATACTTATTCTGTTATAAAATTTGTGTTGAAAATGCTGTATTGTTTATTTAGTGTCGCAATGGCACTTTCGTAATTTCTCTCTTTTTATTCTTGGTCGCCCTAGTATATAATCTAATGCTGGCGCTGCCAGCACAACTTTTTTTTTTTTTGGCTCTCATTTTTTCTCTTCTTTTCTTCTCTCTTCTTTTCTCTTCCTTCTTTTCTCTTTTTCTACTATTCTTTGCACCATAATATGGTACCAAAGCAGGTTTGTTAGCCAAAAAGAACAGAATAGATTGAGTACTACTTTCCTTTTTTGTTGTCTCTCTCAAAGAACTTGAGAATACAGATTGGACAGGTTTGAGAGTCTTCTTCGATCTTTTTCTTTTTTGTTCTTGAAAATCTAGTTTAGCAAATATGGATTCTCAGGAGTTATATGGTAGGGAAATTTGTCAAATGGATAATTTTGCCCCTACCCCCTCGACTTCCTTTGTGTCTACACCAAGTAATTCTGCCACAACTTTCCATGTGACTTCTAATTTCCCTAAATCTCCTTGGATAATTGATTCAGGGGCCTCGAGTCATATGACTGGTAAGTCAAATTGCTTTCAGTCCTATCATATCCTCTCTAGTAGGAACAAGGTGAGACTAGCTTATGGTTCTTTTTCCACCATAGTTGGTCAAGGAACCATCTCCCTCCCTTTTGGACTTCATATTTCTAATGTTTTGCATGTTCCATAAATGCCTATTAACCTGTTTTCTATTAGTAGTATTACTAATTTATTAAACTGTTCAGTAACCTTCTTCCCTTCTTGTATTATATACGATTTGGCTTGAGAGAAGACAATTGGTAGGGGTTGTATGATAGACGGGCTCTACATGCTGGAGAATATGGTTGGTCTTGCAGTCACGGAGTCTAAGAATCAGTTTAGTAAGAGTCAGGTCAATTTGTGGCATAGTTGCCTTGGTCATTTATCTTTTGAGTCATTAAAAGTTTTGTTTCCTGAGCCATTTAAGTTAATTTCAATGTCTGAATTTATGTGTCAAACTTGCCAATTAAGCAAACAATATAGAACTCATTTTCCTTTGAGAAATAATAGATATGAGTTTCCTTTTCATATTGTTTATTCTAATGTTTGGGGCCTTCTTACTTTGCCTTCTGAGACTGGTTATAAGTGCTTTGTTACACTCATTGATGACTACTCCAGGTATACATGGGTGTATCCAATGCGGTCTAGGGATGAAATACCCAAAATAGTAAAAGAATTCCAGCGAATGGTTCTTATTTAGTTCCAAGCCGAAATCCAAATATTCCAATCTGAAAATGCCGGAGAGTATTTCCATAGTGACCTCACGGAAATTTATGCTTCACGTGGATCCCTTCACCATAGCTCTTGTGCTTGAACACCTCAACAAAATGGTGTTGCGGAAAGAAAAAACCGCCATCTTCTTGAAGTTGCTTATGGGTTACTTATACATATGAATGTCCCAAAACGTTTTTGGCTAGAAGCTATTTTATGCACATGTACTGCATATCTTATCAACCATATGCCTTCTCGGTGGTTGAAGTACAAGGCCCCACATCAGCTCCTATTTCCCAAGGTTCCCCTATTCCCTATTCCTTTACGTGTGTTTGGATGTCATTGTTTCATCCAAGATCTATTCCCCATTCGTGGTAAACTTGACCCTCATACTGTTCTCTGTGTTTTCCTAGGGTATCCCTCTTCTCAAAAGGGTTATTGGTGCTTTGATCGTGTCTCCCAAAAATACTATGTTTCTATGGATGTGTCCTTTATTGGGAGCGACTCTTCTCAGTTTCTCTTTAGGGGGAGTGTAGTAGAGTTAAGGAGAAACATGCTCAATTCAACTCCCTCCTATTCCTAATCCTTCTCAGTTTCGTGTTTTCTTTCTTCGACACAAGGGCCATCTGAATTCAAGAGATGTGAAGCATCCAGATGCTATACCACCAGTGCCATTGGATTCCCAAGGGATAGATTCTATCTAGCGAAGTACTCTTATTCCCATTGATATGTCTGATCCCATTGACATTGATACTTTGACTTTTGATGACCTAAACCTTCCTATTGCTCAAAGGAAATGTTTAGGTCTTATACTACTAAACATCCTATTTCCCATTTTGTTTCTTATGAGTACACCCTCACATTCTTTTCATGCTTTCCTCTCTTCCATTGGATAGATGCAATGAAAGAGTCAATGCTTTACAAAAAAATGGCACATGGGAATTGGTAGACCTTCCTAAAGGAAAAGAACTAGTAGGATGTAAGTGGATTTTCAAAGTGAAGCATAGAGCTAATGGTACAATAGAAAGATATAAAGCTCGATTAGTAGCAAAAGGATTTACTTAGGTGTATGGAGTGGATTATGCAAAAACATTTGCTCTGGTGGTGAAGATGAACTCTATCAAAGTCATTTTCTCCCTTGCTACTAACCTTGATTGGGAGCTTTACCAGTTGGATATAAAAAATGCCTTTCTCAATGGTGATCTTGAAGAAGAGGTATACGTGGTACAACCTCCTGGTTTTCATGCTCAAGGCAGTGAACAAAAAGTATGCAGGTTGAAAAATTCCTCATATGGCCTAAAGCAGTCACCGAAAGCCTGGTTCAAGAGGTTTCATTTAGTTGTACAATAGGCTATAAGCAATGTCAGTCTGATCATATCCTGTTTGTGAAGAGAGGGGAAGGAAAGATTGCAGCTTTAATAGTATATGTTGACGACATAGTGATCATTGGTGATTGGAAAACTAAAATTCAGAAGTTGAAGGAGTTTCTTTCTACTAAGTTTGAGGTGAAAGATTTAGGCCCCTTTGTATTTTCTTGGAATTGAAGTTATTTGTTCACAAAAGGGATATTCATTTCTCAAAGGAAATACATCCTACATTTGTTGCAATATTCTAGTAAGCTAGGGGTGAAACCAACTGACTCTCCTATTGATCCAAACCATAAGCTAGGTGACTGTCAAGGTTAAATCATCAAAGACGTGAAGCAATTCCAGAGACTTGTGGGAAGACTTTTATATCTATCCATGTCGCTCCCAATTATTGCTTATGTTGTAGGGGTTCTTAGCTAGTTCATGCATGCTCCCAGGGCTGCTTACTTGGAAGCAGTTGAGAGGATCCTTAGATATCTCAAGAAATTTCCAAGTGTTGGTTTGTTGTTCCAGATACATGGGCATTTGAAGGCTAAGGTACATACATATGTTGATTGGGTTGAATCTTTTGATGACAAAATCCACTAGTGGCTATTATACCTTTGTGAGAGGGAACATAGAAAAAACAAGAAACAAAGTGTTGTGGCTAGGTCTAGTGCTGAAATTGAATACCAGGCAATGTCTCATGGAGTGGCTGAGATCATGTGGATTAAGATCTTGTTGAGTGAACTAGGATTTACTGTGGATAATCCCATGTCCATATATTGTGATAACAAGGCAGCTATCAACATTGCAACCAATCCTGTGCTTCATGATAGGGCCAAGCATATTGAGGTGGACAAGCACTTTATTAGGGAGAAGCTTGTTAGCGGGAAGTATGTTCACCCTATGTTAGTTCTGAAGAGCAGTTTGCAAACATTTTCACTAGGGTTTACATCACTTGTGGCATAATGGTTTGTGTGACAAGTTGGGTATGATTAATATCTACGTCCCAACTTGTTAGCGGAGAAGTATGTTGGAAAATGCTTTAATGTTTATATTTAGTGACACAAGGGCACCGTTGTAATTTCTCTCTGTTTATTCTTGGTCACCGTAGTATATAATCTAATGTTGGCACTGCCATCACAACTTTTTTTGCCTCTTATTTTTTCTCTTCTTTTCTTCTCTCTTCTCTTCTCTCCTTTTCTACTATTTTTTGTAGCATAATAAGTAGGTTTAGCAGCTTACAAAAAAGCCTAATGAAAATACCACATGATTTGGTGCAAGTTGAAGACTGTAAAAGGATAAGGAAAATGCTAAGAGAACATGCATTGTGAAGTGGGGAATGATTTAAAGACTACTTTTACTAAACATAAATCTCCAAATGGGTGGACAAGGCTTCAACAACCAGGGTTCAAATCTTGGAAACAGCCTCTTTGTATGTGCAGGGGTAAGGCTGCGTACATCTGTCCCTCTCCAGACCCCACATTGGATGGAGCCTCGTGGACTGGGCTGCCCTTTTTTTTATTACAATTTGTGTATCCTACAAAATTCGGTCTTTGGAACTGCAATGACAGGCTCACTTTTGTTCCTTCATTGTAAATAAGAAAAGTTCTTGTACAGAGTGATGTCAACATGCATATCAATTTCATAAAGACAAAGTAATGTACGTCTTGGAAGCCAAGTCAACAAAAGTAAGAACCAGTATTATCAAAGTGACAAAGCTTTCAAACAAACTTCAATCCAAGATTCAAAATATATTGACTGCATCTATTATATTCAATAAAATTCTTAGGAGAATCTATTTATTTATGTCTTCTGACCACAATTAATAGCTTTAGAGAGAAATATCATAAATTGATCTGCTTTGTGTTGCATCAATTATGAGAAGAAAAATAAATTACTTTTCCAATATGCTACTTACATGAAATAAAGAACGCCCAAACCATCCAGCAAATGTGCTCGGATTGAGAAGTCTGGTTAAAAAAAAATTGACACTAGTTCAATGGTAAGGCACAAACTTACAGACCTGAAGCATGATTAACCTAGTTCCATGGCCAACAAATATAATATTTCAAAGTTGAAGGAAAAGAAAAAAAATGCAATAGTTAGGACAATGGAGAAAAGCTAACCTTCCTGCTTGGCAATAAAAGAGAATTTGTGGGTGTTGCATCACAGTTCTTTCATTGAGATCTTTGTCAAGCACACTAACTAGGACGGGGATGCTAGTGTAGAAAACATTATAAGCCATCAAACTGACAGAATTGAAAAGGCTGGTTCCAGAGATACCTGAAATAAAAGAGAACCTGAATGTATTCTTGCATTAGTACAAAATCAAAGATGCAAACACAAAGTCAGGTTAAATTTCTAAGGCATATGTGATATTATCATTTGCAATATAATTAATTTGGTAAAAAAGAGAAGTAAGTAGCCATGAGAAAGGAAAGATTTATTCCATGAAAACTTACAGGATTTGGATAAAGCATATCACTAGAGATTTATAAAAAGAATATTGGGAAAGAAATGCTGTCCGGTTGTAAGAGTACCGTCCATGGACAAGTATCAATCTTTTAAGAAACTTGAACTCTGCAATGATAAGCATATTAATATGTTAGTTACTTCGTTTATTTACATTAGAAAAACAAATTTATTGGATAAAATGAAAGAACATCCATGTTTGTGGCAGAGAATAAACAACATAGAAATAACATGAAAGATTTCTAGGCAAGCTTTTAAATCCCATACTAATGCATGCACTGTTTTATTAATACATACAGTGCTCAGTCTGCAGTCCTACAGCCCACAGTTGGGCACTTGTCCTGTAATGACAACATCCAGAGTTAAATGTGGAGATGTCCGGTTGGGAGGAGTATGTGGAGATGTTTCAGAGAAGCCACCCTATGGACAATTTGGGAAGAAAGAAATGCTAGAATTTTCCAAGATAACGAGAGGTCCTTTACAGAAGTGAAGGAATGTATCTTAACCAGGGCTATCCATTGGCTGAAATCCTTGGCTTCTTTCAGCTCTTTTTCATTTGATGACATTTGGAGGAATTGGGCCACAGTTAAACACACTTCGGTTAGAAAAACCAGAGCCACTACAGTTTGGGTAACTCCCCCAGAAGGATTTTTTAAACTGAATTTTGATGGAAGCAGCGAGGGTAACCCAGGACCGTCTGGCACTGGAAGAGTATTGAGGAATGAGAATGGCAACATCATATCCTTATTCTCAGGCCCGATAGGGATAGGGGGACTCTACAAGAGCTGAGATATTGGATGCAGTACAGGGAATTCAGATTTCTGATCAACCAGGAGTGGAGAACCTATTGATTGAAGGGGATTCTAAGGTGATTGTGGGCTGGCTGTCAAATCCAGACTCAGTTGTTTGGAGTTATAGGGATCTCATCAAAAAAGTTAAATGTTTAACAAGGCACATGACATGTAGATATCAGTGGGTGGGTGGGTAGGGAGGCAAATGCCTTGGTTGATCATCTTGCTAAACAGGGGTCTACTAGGGACCATTTATTCTGGGCAGCATTGCAATTTTATTTCTGATCTTTTGTAATGTTTAGGGGAAGCTGCATCTCATGCCTCTCCAAGGGATTCTTGTAAAATCTTTTTTCTCTTGTTTAATGAAATCATTTTCAATTATCAAAACAAAAATGACAACATCCAGAGTTTGAACTTCAAGTCAGTGTTTATATCTGTCAAAGATCTTGTCAATCACTAATCCTCTCTGCCTCCTTTCATTTATTTTTCCCATGTAGAATAAACAAGGAAAGAACTCCATGTTCTGATTGATCTTAACAGATGCCACTTCTTTTATTTCTCCTTAGTTGAGAGACCATCTAGAAAAACACCTATGGAGAACTAAGGACTTACGTGGTGCTGATATGAGGTGTTCAGATAGTGGTAATGCTGGTTTTCTGGTGCAGTGTTGCTGCTTGTGAGGGAATCTGACGTAAGAAAACAGGGGGCTCATTCATCCCTGCATAAGATAGTTCTTTGAAGCTGGAAACTTCTGATCAAGTAGATAATGACTACATGCTGAATGTGGAACCTAGATGTTTATAACAGGTCAGTGGGTTATATTTTATGACTTGTATGGGCTGTTCTAGTGTCTGGAAGTATGTTTTTATGGTTTGTGTGGAGCATTCTTCTGCCAGGAAGCATGTGACAGACCTGTGACAAATTTCGTTCATGTGAACCAAGATTTCTTCGGCTAGCAGCAGTGTAACTACTCGGAGTTGTGGACAGAAACCCTTGTCTGTTTGTGTCTGTCTGATTGGTAGGAACAATAATAGTATATACAGCAAGGCTATTTGCTGGGTGTGAGTGCATTTCATTTATTTCTTCCCATTGGTTCTGGTTATAAACCTGTATAGGATGGCAACTGATGATATGACAATGTCTGGAACATCAGGCATTCATTGCCTGCCTAATGGAAATGATGATTACTTTGATCTAGCTAAAAATTCTTTTTGGATGGAACATTAAATCTTACCTTTCATTCATGTCATAGGTTATTTGGTTGATCTGTTAGAATCATGTGCTTTTGATTCTTTATTTCTGTTCTTTTAATTGTGTCTGTTAGGTGATCTCTCATCACCACATGATGAATCTGATGTACTTTCTTCTGATTTTAATAAATTTTCTTTTTATTTACTACCAGGAAAAATCTATAAGACAAAATTGCAATGTATTATTTTGTCTGTTAACCTGAGTCTCTTCACTTTGTTTAATGGTTTAAATCAAAATAATAACCTAAAAGGTTGTATTTAGGCTTCCTTCATCATTTCATAAAACATCATTGCAGGAGTTAACAATGTTTTCACCATTTCTATAATTTTTTGTAACATTTCAATACTCTCTGACATATCTGACATGTTTCCAATATTTGAATGACAGGTATTTCCACCTGCGTTAGCATATTAAACCTTGTACATGAGGATCCTAGATTACAAATGCTACACCCATAAAATTTCAACTTTATGTGGTGAGCACTAGGATGGCTCCGTTGGATATCTCTCAGGCACCTAGTTGTTGAGAAGTCAGCCACCCATTTCCAGCCTCTATGTATATGGTCCATAGATGAGATAATAGAGCCAAGATTGCTCTCTTTCTTAAAAAACAAAAAGGCTGTAACTCCCTATCCTACCATATCCAGCCTTACAATATGTTTGTGAAACAAGACTGTAATTTTATCACATATTTATGCCTTAGGAGATGTGCAATATCTTAAAACATTTTTTTTTCTTGCTTTACTAGTTGATGCCTAGGCACCAGCTGGCAGCTAGCCATCACATCAACTACGGGCAACCATGTTTTAAAATGGTATATACATTACATTTGTGCCTACTATGTTAGGACTTTGCTACTGACAACAAAGCGGAACGTGTTGAGACTAGAGAGAAGAAAATAATGAAGATGAGAGGAGAGGATGAGGAAAAGAAGATCAACAGGCTTATCATATATATATATATTCATTTCTCTCTCATGATGCATATTCTTCAAGGTTCAAGCATATTTGATGCTTACATTTCTACACTTCATGCACACTTCAACTAATGAAGCATACTCTTCAGTGCATCAAGGCATTTTAGGATGTCTTGTACTGAGGCACAGCTCAAGGCTTATGCTTTGAATGCCTCTGAAAGCATTGATTGTAGGTCTGACAGAAAGTTCTAAATTACCCCATGAGGAAAAATATCCAAATAATGTTTGAGGAAAGAATCTTCCTGAATGGTAACCAGAACATCTGAATACAAAGGAGATTAAGAATTTACATTATAGAGATCTTCCATGAGTGTGACATAATTTTTATTAATCAAAAAAATAGGAGTGTGACATAAAATATGGCTGTTAAGATGGTTTGAAGTATCTGTGAGATTTGGTGAAAGTTTCCCCGAAATCTCCTATTTAACCATTTTACTGGAGTGATATGAATATTTCCAAGAATCTATTTTGTCCTAATATCTCTGATATATTGCTGATATGTCAACAATATTTCAAATTTCATTAATAGACTGTACATTTAAGGTTTAAAATTGAAAAATATCATAAAATAATTTCTGATATTTCATTAAAATCATCCTAATTTAAAGAAAAAAACTTGTATTAAAAGAAAAAATGGGGATTCAGTAATTGGATGATTGGCTTACTGAGTCACTATAATTCAAAGGAAAAATGAAAAAAGGCACACAACCAAAAATAATCTAATCAAAATGTACAATAACAAAAACAAATGGAAAATTAGAGATAAGTACCCCATACACCAAACTGCCCATTGTAAATTTCTTTTACACAGTCCTGATAATGATTTTTTTACCAAAAAAGTCCTGATAATTAATTTATTGAACTGGTTTGGGAGAATGGTCAGATACTAATGCAAGGTCAATCTAATAAAACTCAAAGAAGCCCCTCATGAAACTGTCTTATAAAATATGTGAAGGGTTGTTTTGGGAGTTTTAAATGTTTCAAGGCACACATGACATCACACGCTGCAGATAATTGATGAAAAGCTAATGAGTGGACATGAGTGTGTTATGGATGCATTCGTGGGAAAGACTTACTGCCGCCGCCGGCAGCAGCAATAAGGACCGCATGACAGCTCATCAGGGGCCCACACTTATCTTTCCACGACAACTCTACCTGTAACTGCGGCCTGATTTCCATCGGTAACTCTAACTGACGGGCAGCCTGTTCACTGACGAAGTTGTGGGTGCTTCCGGAGTCCACGAGAATGCGAACTGGTTGCCCTGCTACCAGCGCCCTTAGTTGCATGGTTTGTGATGTTTTGATCCCCGTGATGGCGTGGAGGGAGATCTCTGGTTCGGATGCTGCAGGTTCATCCTCGTCTTCTTCGGGTTCATCTACCAGCAGACAGAATAGTTTCTTGCACCTGTGCCCAGAGGAGTACAGATCGTCGCAGTTGAAGCACTGCCCTCTTGCGCGCCGTTCTGCCATCTCGGCTAGGGACAGCCATCTAATGGGGGGTGTTGTCCTGCTACTCCCTATACTTGATGCCAATCTGGAAGGGTTACTGGCAGGAGGCCTCTGTTCCCTGCTGGCGGTCGAAGAATGAGACACTCCTGCTGTCTTCGAAGGTGCCCAGGTCGTTGCCGGCCGACCTATACTGAGGTTTCCGTGGGAGAGCTGCATCTTCCATTCGAAGGCGCAGGCGAGGTTCATTGCTGTGACAAGGTTAGGAGGGTGTTGCATCTCTACGTCCACTCGTAGGGGTTCTACTAACCCTGCTTTAAACATATCGACTTGCTGGTCTGGGCGTACCGAGGCTGCCCTGGCGAGAAGGGTTTGGAACTGGCGTTGATATTCTGCCACGGTTCCGGTTTGCTTGAGGTTAATTAACTTGCCCAGCGGGTTTCTTGTCAGCGGGGGCCCGAACCTGAGGAGGCAATAGGATTTAAACTGTTCCCAGCTGAGCCCGGGTTCTTCCTGTTCCGGATGGTAGAACCAGAGCTGTGCTTCTTCTGTTAGGTGGAAGGCGGCCAGACTGACCTTGTCTCTGTCATCAGTGCGCTGGTTACGGAAGAATTGTTCGCAGCGATATAACCATTCCAATGGGTCTCCGGTCCCGTTGTAGGACGGGAATTCTAGCCGACTGTACTTGGGAATAACTGTGGCTGTTGGGGCGGCGATCTGATGTTTGCCGGTCATCTCTGCCCAGTCCGGCCGGCGACTGTTGGTGGTGGCGGTTCCCTCGGAGTTCCTTTCCTTGTTTGATAAAAACGTCTCCAGCAAGCGTCGCAGCTCCTGGACATCGTCTTTGACCTCACGAACCTCCGTGCTGGTCTCTACGAGCTTTGCTCTAGTTCGTGGACCCTGGATGATAGCGGTTCCAGATCTCCCATGACGGTAGGCTTTGATACCAAGATGTTATGGGCCCGGGCGTAGGATCTCGTCACGGGTCGGTCCACGGGGAGAACCTCTAGCTTCCCCTTGCCCTTCCCTCTGCGTGCAGACCCTATTGTGGTAACCTAATGGTTGATTTGTCCAAGAGATCACCCGAACTCTCCTCACTCTTTCCTAGACTGAAAACTGAATGCCTTTATTCCAATTCACAGCTCCTTAAATAGGAGATTACAAGAGGGGAGTCCTTATTGTATTCGACTAGGCTGGGATAATCCAACTTTAAATCAAACTCCTACTTCTAATGGTAAACAAACTCCTACTTCTAATGGTAAACAAAACTCCTACTAAGAATAGAAGATAAGATAAGGATAGATGGGAGAAGGGATAGGGTAGAGCTGTCGTGGCAAGATAAGTGTGGGCCCCTGATGAGCTGTCGTGTGGGCCCTTCCTTATTGCTGCTGCCGGCGGCGGTAAGTCTTTCCCACGAATGCATCCATAACAGAGTGTTGGTTTTTAAAAGTTCAGGTACTTGGTTGAAGTACTTGAAAGTTGAGGTCCTTATGTGTCCCTACCCCAAAGTACAAGGTACCTATCTGTAATTTCCCAAAAAGACAAAAGTCAAAATGGCAGGAAAATGACGTACATAATGAAGGGAAGATGGATAAAAAGACTAAAAGGGAGATAGAGAGAAAGATATCTATTTAAGTCTCTTAATTTTCTCTTATTTGATTATAGTTATTTGCTTTGGTTCTTTAGGCATAGATGTACATCTCCTAACAATTCCATGAAAGTTTATATACCATGTTTTTTAGAAAATTTTCCTATTTTTTAGATTTTCCAAATATCTTAGTGAATTTAGCAAATTATCCCCGAAATTTCCACGTCATTACATGGTGAAATGTCCGCTGAGAACGAAATTACAAACCATAGTCATTATCAACTTGTGTTTTACAGCCTTTGTGATATACTTCATCCATATAAGAAATAGAATAAAAAACTTGCAGGTTGCAACATGAACATCATACAACAAAGAACATAACAGAAATATTGGTAGAGTAACTTACTGCCAATGCTATAGTCAGCTGCCCTTGCTGCCTGCAGACCTTCTCTCCCACTAATACCCACGCCAATGTCAGCCTGCTGTATCATTCTGACATCATTTCCACCATCACCAATAGCTAATGTTCTGTAGTCACATGACTTCAAGATTTCTACAAGCTGCACAAACATAAGAATATAAATAAAACGGTTATTCTTTCTCTCATTTCATACTACCAGTAGAAAAAATTAAGCTCCATTAGGTTGCATTGCATGTAGAACATTGGAAAAAGAACATTCTTTGGAGGCAATATTTTATGGTGTTTGGCTGCAAAGTAGTTGGCTGTGAAAAACAAACAGTTTCCAAAAAAAAAAAAAGAATCAGCAGTAGCTCTAGGAAAATGACATTTTCTTTAATCTACCTTAAAGAGAGCTGGATCTCTCAATTCAGATTCTATACCCTTATCTGCGTTAACCATCTAGGTTTATTTTCCAAGGTTACAGCCAAACACCAAGAAAATTAGGAATATGATTCATTTTCCTATTGAATGTAATTTCTTAAGCAGCTCATTTGTTTTCCTTTATTTTATGTGCAAAAATGCACCCTTAGTGAAGATAACTGTGAATTGAGATATATCACTACACTATATTAAAATGACAGGTTTTATTGTTGGTAATTGGAGATAAATGATTAAAAAAAATCACCTAATTGCTATTCATTGCACCCAAACAATTTAGCCAAGCTCAGATAAAGAACCCGCAGGTAGAGAATGGATTATTCAAAGATTGAAAATTAAACCTTCTCTTAATAGAATGTAGGTAAGATACACATAAAATTATGTTCCAGACTGCCGTTAGGACCATAATACTCATGACTATTGATGAACTGCCCAGATTAAGAAAAACATGATTGGGCCGAGCAAGTTGTGGACCCAGTCAAATAACAAGAGGGGGCAGAGGAGTGGACCCAAGATATGTTTCAAAGTGAAAGCGTTGGGGCAAGGCTAGAAAATAAAGTTGTTAGGACTTCAAATAAAGAAGAATTTGTTTGGTGTATAACAGGATATGTTTATATTGGCAGGTTCAAAGAGAAGCAACAAGAGATCAATATGGAGACAAATAATGAAAGGAAAGGTGAAGGGAGGTAGATCCAAAAGGCAAAGAAGTTCAAGCAGTTTCAAGTGTAAACCACAATTTGAAGGTAGGAATATATTTGCAATATGAAACAAAATAAATGAAATCACTTGTTACCTACAGACATGCTAGGAATATATTACCAGCAAAATTAATGATATATTTGCAGTATGAAACAAAATTAATGATATTACATTCAAAAAGATATCAATTTAATGGCAGATAATATTGATATTCTACAAGCTAAAACAGGAAGTAACAAGGTTACAAAATAAGATATGACAAAAACACCTGGGCCTTTTGGGATGGTGTCACACGACAACAGATAGCTGTCCTCGACAATATTGCCAAATCAGTAAAAGCTTTCCTGTGGTGCTTAATTGCAATTTCTAGCGCCCAACCATCAACAACAAATGCCACATCCTGCATATAAAGAAAAGACCAAGATAACATACAGATCTTGAAGGAAAAGTAAGCAACCAATGGGAAAGAACTGTGGTCATTATGTTTGAAGCTAGAAAATAATGAAGATCAAATAAGATCAGCAGAAAAGTATATGTTAATACCCTATGGACAAACAAGACATCACAACATAACCTAAAGCAAGATGCATGCATACTTGTAACCATGGCTTCTTGTTAGCTGTTTTTCAACATACAAATATTTCCTCCTCATTTGGGAATATTTGGCTTCTATCCTCCATTGAAGCTAGCTTGTGGAGAGAGTCCAGAAGGGAGGAGGAAGAGAAGGTAGAGGAAGACTACCTAGGTGGCAATCATCGATTGGCCAATTTCAAATTGGCTAAGACTTAACTCATTTTTGGAAGGTCAAAAAGAAAAGAATACAAAAGGTTTGCAAGCTTGGAAAAATATTGAGCGTGCAAGACAAGGCAAAGGAGGAGGGAGTAGGACCTATGCCCAAGCCCTGGTAGATGGAGTAATTGCACAACCAGATGTTCAAGATTATTTGACTAATGTCGGGCCACCAATTGAGCCTTCCAAGCTGTTGAGGAATGATATGGGATCAACACATGGAGTGGGAGCTTCTTGAGACATAGTGAGGTGGTAGAGCCATTAAGTCTAAAGGCCTCTATAAATGAGCAAATAGGTGGGCCCAATTCAATAAATGGGCTTAAGGTGGGGAATGCGATAAACCAAGTTGGGCTGGCCTTAAGCGAACTGACTAAATTAAAGGGCCTTGCAAATGGGCCCAAATCCGATAAAAAACCAAGGGGGGGGGGAGATCTTGTTTGCAAGTTGGGTCGATTTTAAGTGAAGAACCACGTGCGCCTTTAAGTGGTCATGTGATAGGGTATAGACGACAGACCATCCTCTAGGTCTATCATTGTCCAGCTGAAGCTATAACTCAAAGAAGTTTGACTCAAAACAGTTGACAACAAAGAACCTTGTTGGAGGCCAAGGCTGGTCTCATACTCTATAACTCTTGAGCACACCAACCCAAAGTTCGATTGATAGAGGGAATATGAAGAGTTTTTTTATTCAAACTGGGTAAAATGCGATGAAGAAAAGGCCAAAGATGAGGTTTCCTCTAGAGAGTCCGGTCTAGGCATCATAAAGAGCATATCAAAGCTCTCGGCGGTAGAGTTAGACCTTGGAAGAAAACTTCTCTTTAGGGATATTTTACTGCTAAAATCCAAAATTTCTTTGGAACCTAGTAGGAACAAGAATTTGGAGGGTCGCTCCACAAGTGAGGTTAATTGTTTGATTAAAGGTGGAGAACCTATTTTGGGTCCAGAGCAAGGCCACGGAATCTATAGTCCGAGCATAACTTCTTCCAACTTGGATGGCAAAGAAACAATTTCTCCTTACTCCCCTAATAGTGCGACACAAGTTGACTTGGAGAAGATCACCCCTAGAAAAAGCCCTTTCCTTCACAAGTCTAGTGGGTCTGGAAATCTCTAGGGTCTTGGTGCCTCTGGTATGTTGTGTCAATTCCCTGTTTTTCATAGAATTATTTGTACTAATTCCCCCCTTCCCTTGTTGTTGCTCTTGTCTAGCCTGCAAGCAATACCTTATCTAGTCCAAATGCTACCTGTCCTAATGAAATGGAAGTAACAGAAGTATTAGGAGAGGTGGAAGGTGCAAAACTATTTGAGGAAGGGGAAAGGATTTGGGGCTTAGTAATGTAGACCTTTCAAATTTTGGTAGGGGAGGAATTAGGTGCTGACCTAGAAAAGGATGAGGAGGGTAACACTCCAAATCTTGTAGCTAGGGTGAAACACAAGGAGTGCTCTAAGAAAGGTGCAGGTGCTAAAAAGTCAAATAAGAAGGGTAGGGGGAAGGCCCAGAAGAAAGAGAGAGCACAGGTCAAGAGGAAGTTAAGTGAGGGGGAAAGGCTTAGGTGTGAAGTGGATTACGACAAAGGCTGCACTGGAAGGAAGGAAAGGAAGTTGGAGTAGTTGGAGGCTTAGGAAGGGGTTGTTCTTTGGTTTAGTATTCTGCTGAAGATAATTAATTGGAATGTAAGGGGATTGGGGAGTTTAAGGAAAAGAAAAGTGATTAGGGAAGTGCTTAGAAAAGAGAAACCGGATGTTGTGCTAATCCAAGAATTAAAGGTTTTGGTGCTAGACAGTGTATGCCCTTAGCTCCAATCAAATTGATGTACATAAGCATTTATTTGTAAATAAATAAAGTACATTGTTGTTTCATGTTGATATTGGTATGTTTCTATGTATTATCCCTTAAACTGGAACACTTAAGAGACTCATGTTAGTTTAGAATGTTCTCAGCCATTGGATAGACTTGGGGAGTTTATCCTAACAAAGCTGACACTGGTGTGTTGCCAAGGAGTTGGAGTAGCTTGTCTCAGCTGGTAGGGTTAGACCCCAAGCACAGCTAGTTGGTGTTTATCAGAAACACTGAACCCAGACCAATTTCCAGTTATGCCTTTAACCTTGGAGATAGATGGGCAAAACTGGAAAGTTATAACTCCAAACTTGATTATGGTATTACACTAGGTGTTGGACTAGGTTGTCTTTGATATACCAACCAGTGAGATCCATCAAGGGTCAAATGCCTGGGTATGTTGGGGCAGTCCAAGAATTCACCTGAGTGGGTGATCGTAGTGATAGGATCAACCCCTTTGTCGTACAAAGTGAATATCAGTGTTTACACTCTCTCTGATGCAAACCTAAACTGCCGACAATGGATTTCACCTGTGTTTGAAAAAGGGTTTGCAAAAGGTTTTAATCCCGGGATCCATCTGAGTAGAGAGTGTGACACTACACCTTGCATCTAGGGGGAGAGGTCCTTCCCTGTCGGGCAGTGTTTTGATCATTATGGGCCAAGAGGTTAAGTGTAAGAGACCATTACAGGGTTGATTACCTGATGGGATTTGTCTTACATGAGTCCATTATCCTTGGGTCTTCATAGGGTGGCTGAATTCAATGATCATTTAGGTGTAAATGTTAGGCCCAAACTGAACCACTACTGATTGGGTCAGGGGTTCATTGCCCTGAGTAGTGAATTCGGCCTAGCCTTTTTCAGGGGTAGGGCCAAACCCATATGGACTTCTGTGAGATCATTGTGGGGTTCCACACCATATAATATCAGGCCCAAAGAGTTCATGCAACACCTAGGGTTGTGAGCCTTTGATTAAAATGGGCCAAAGGCCCATAATTAATAAGATTAATTAAGCAGTCACATGATAACTTGCTTTTGGGTCGAATCTGGGTTTGGTATTGGCTATGGAGCACCATCCTCTTAAGAGGATAAAGGCTTATCTATTAAAAGAGTCCAAATCCAATTTAGATATGGATAATCTCCTAATTAGATTAGGAGTGTGTTCTATTAAGAGATAAAAGGAGAAGAGGGCAAACAAGACTAGAACACCTCTCTCTCTTGTTCTCTCTTGTTCTCTCCCAAGAAATCCTAATTCGACCTAGACTTTCAAGAACTGATTTTGATCAGTTTTTCTTCTAGTTTTTACAAGAAAAATGTTGAAGAACATCAGGCTCACATATCCCATTCGATCCAAGCAAGTTGGATAGAAGTTTTGCTAAAACAATGTTGCTGAACCGACTTCTCCCATATACTACGCCATCTTCAGTTGGAGGTTGGTTTTGGGACTGATATTGGGCATGAACTTCCACCTTGGGATCTGCGCTTTTGGTATCCGTATTAGGTATAATCTCCCTTTTTTATTTGGTTTCAAATCTGGTCCAGCTTAGTACAAGATCGATCCGAAAAAATACAGTTTCTCAAAACACCGGGAAATCAGTTTCTAGAAGGGTTAGAAAATTTTTGCCCAGCCATCTAGCATGGTTCGACCATCCATAAGATGGATTCTAACCCTTCCTACATTTGGAAGTAGGCAGGAGATGGATAAGGAATGTTTGGGCAACTAGAGGACTAAGTTGGGCTTTTGCACAATCTTGGGAGGCCTCAAGCGGAATTCTAACAATATGGAAAAATGAAGAGATGGACTGCTTTGAAGAATTAATTGGTAACTTCACGGTTACAACAAAATTTAGGAGAGAGGATGGGTTGGAATGGTCATTAACAAATGTTTATGGTCCAAATTCTTACAAGGGAAGGGAGGAGCTATGGCAAGAGCTAGTAGCTATAAGGGGACTGTGGAAGGGTCCTTGGGTTTTGGGTGGTGATTTTAATGTGACTAGACTTGTCACTGAAACAAACAACCTCAACCATAGGATCACCTTAAGTATGAGGAAGTTCAACCATTTTGTGGACTCTATTGAGTTAAGAGAGTTTGCTAATACTACAAGATAATTTGATATGGTCTAACTTTCAAGAAGAGCCCCTCTACTATAAATTAGATTCTTTCTCTTAAGACTAAGATGAGATTGGAGAGGGTTGGTTGTTAAAGATCTACCTAGACCTACTTTGGATCATTGCCCAATTAGATTGTCACAAGAAAGATTGGGAGGACTGTGCCCGTTTAGAAGAAAACATGTGGCTGCTTCACCTGGAATTTAAAAGGAAAGTAAAAGATTGGTGGGATGAGGACCAAGTAGATTTTAGATGGAAAGGCTACAAATTCTATAAGAAGCTACAAAAGTTGAAAGCTAGGATCAAAGAATGGAATAAAGAGGAATTTGGTAGAGTTGAAGAAAAAAGGAGACCATCATCAAAAGGATTCAAGATTTAGGCCTAAATGAAGCAAGTGGATTGAGGGCGGCAGAAAGGGAAGAGAGATGGAGATTGAAACATGAATTGGAGGAAATCAAGATGCAAATGGTTGAAGGAAGGAAATGGTAATACAAGTTTTTTCCTAACCTAGCAAAACAAAGGAAGAGGAAGAATACTATAGTAAGTTTGGATTGGAAAGGAAAAGTGTTGACTGGAGAGTAGGATATTGAAAGAGCCCTAGTGGAGCACTTTAAATCCATCTTTGACAGCCTTAGTAGATTTGAGAGAGTCTCTAGGTGATTTTGAGTGGTTGATTGGTGATAGAGAGTTGATGGATCCCTTGGAGAGACCTTTTGAGATTTAATATATAAAAGTGGCCCTCTTCTCTATGGATAGAGAAGAGATTGGAGAGAAATGAAAAGGTAGTTGAACAGAAAGGTGTACAATATGTGGGTTCTAAAAAGCAAGAGATTGGAAATTGAAACACATTGGTAGACGGAGGAGGTTTTAACATTGGGACCTATGGGTCCCAAGAGGTGGGAGAGTTTGATTCTCACGGGAAAGTAAAAAGATTTTTGGGGTTAGGTATCTTGAAGCCAGGTCGGACTGATGAAAATGGGGTATAATTCATTAAAATGTTAGACAGGTTGAGCAAAGCAAGAGGGGTGGGAATGTGGGATGACACACGTGCTCACTTAAATATGCATATGTCTTTGAGTTTTAATAAAGAAAGATCAGATGGACATAGGAAGATAAGGTCCCTTTGAAACATAGCAAAGGGAAAGAGGGGCAAATGAGGAAATTTAATGAAAGGTAATTTCAAAAGAGCTAGATCAAGAAGGGTTTTAAGGGGCTTTTCAAGTGGAACTTCAAAGGAAAAAGAGAAGCGGCTGGAAACAGAGAGATGGGAGTAGGTGATAATCAGACTTGTTCCAGAAACTAAAAAGAACCGGTGGCCAGACAACATGACAAAGTGAATAGAGGAGAAAGAGATTGCTTTAGCTTTGGATGGAGAAGGTACAGCAGGGGGAGATCTTAGGGAAAGTGGACCCAAAGACATTAGAGACAAATCTTTTAGTATGCTTTCCTGGATCTTCAAATGGTGGTAACTCCAGTTTCTGTTTGTGAAGATTCTCTTCAGACCAGCATCAATGAGAGGCAGTAAATTTTTGTGGGACATCTGAGTGGGGAGGCCTTTTTGAATGTAGAGAAGGGTGCCAATGGAATTCTTGATTTAGAAGACAGGCTTTCAGTTGAGTCCACAAAGAAGCTGAGAGATGATCTCGGAAGAAGAAGTGCTGATTTTGAGGTGACGGAGAGGGTAGATATTGGGGTCATTGGAGGTTGTGGAAATGGAAAATTTGGAAACATGTTTGGAGGTGGTTGTCAATGGGGTGGAAGTGGATTGGGTTGCACGAGAATGTGTGCTAATCATCTCCAGGAAAGGTAACAGGATGATTCAAGACTTATCAATTAAAGGAGGAGAAGATAATGACAAAGTTATAGAGGGAGAGAGTAAGTTGACAGGGGTTAAAACGGAGAGAAGAGATTCAAATAAGTCAGTTGCACAGGTTTATAATAGAAAGAAATAAAGGACATTACCACCAGGAGGAAAAACACAAATTGAAGATATAGAATGGAGGATGATTTTTTTTAAGGGCAGTAAAAAGTATTGATCAGGATGAAGATGTAATGATTAATGAAATTCATGTTTTCAAAAAAAAAAAAAGAATGAATTTAGAAGTGGTGGTGAATACTGAAGTTGAAATTAGTAAAATTATGGGTTTATTCTTTTTGGGAGGGGAGGAGTTTGAAATAATAACTTTTAGAGAGTTGGAAAAAGAGAATTTGGTAATGGTGTCCCTGGAAATAATTTTGTGATTGGGGGTGAAAAAATTCTAAAAAATCAATTGCTTTTGTTAAAAAGGCTAGCTGGCCGGGCAAGGGGGTGAAGATGAAGTTGCATCAGTTGAGAAGAGGGCTGTCAAATTTGAAGCTAGAGACAAGGATAAAAACGTGGTAGAGTCCAGTTCTTGAGTGCTGGGATGATGCATTTTCCTTCTTGATGAGTCACCTTTAGGGGTGAGAAAATGGGTCAGTTCTGCCTAGAACCAAATGAACCAACCTCAAACCAACCCTACCCAATCTGTTACCAGGTAGAGTCCAGTTCCAAATTCTTGGAACTGACCGCTACCCAGGCTGGTACCAGGGTTTGGGGGTTTACCTACCTGAACCGACCTAGAGAACCAGCCTTGGTTGGCCTGGATGGAACTAGCCTTGATTGGCCTTGGAACCAGACTTACCTTAAAACATCTCCCGAAATACTTTTGAGGATGTAAAGATTTGATCTCAAGCACTCATGGTTACAAAGACCATGGTCTCACTTGACCACTGAGCCACTTAAGTGAATTGATAATTTTTCTTCAATTTAACATTTGAATGTGTATAATAAGTAATATAAAACATAATATTTACAAAATTTAAACTATAATATAAGTTTGGAACTATATTATCATTATTATTGAAAAAGTTAATATTTTATGATTTTGATTTCTTTCAATCAAATATATTGATAGTAACATCATCAATGATAAAATTTGTGATTATGTAATTATGTCACTTTTAAATAATTCTTAATGTTAAAAAACATAACATATAGTACTATATTAAACTCGACAACATATATAACTATCTACTGAGTTTTAATGTAATGGGATGCTTTTTTTCTTAAAGAAAAGGTTCCTTTGTTGTTTTTTTTTTTGGTAAAGAACAGTTTCCATGAGTAGACCCTGGAACCACAAAGGCCAGAACCGACCCTGAAAAAAAAAAAAACTCTGTTTCTTCACCAGGGGGATCATGTAATAAACAATCCTTCTAAAATTTGATGACATCTTTTTTAGATACAGATGAAAAGGGTATTAATGAGTTGAAAATACTCTTAGGCCAATCCTTAAAGATGAGATGGGAACCACTCATTGCCCTTTTATTCCCTTGCTCTGTTGTTTCCAGCAATTTGATTTGTCTGCTTTCTCTTTTTGGCTGCAGATGGAATCCTCTAGGAGATGTGGGAAACCTATTTAAGCAAGCTGCAAGTTGGTTGGCTTGGGCAGGGCACTAGAATTTGGATGTGGGATGGGTCAAGAATTTTCTCAATTCCAAGCAATAAGACTTGGGTCTTTCATATTCCTATGAAAGTTTCACTTCTAATGTTGTCCTTTGCGTTAGGTAAATGCCATACAAGGGACAGCCTTATCAGAAGTGGTATGATCATTGACTGAGAAGTGAAGTTTTCACTTCTAATGTTGTCTTAATGCACTATAGAGTAGCCAGAACAATGTGGGTAAGCTTTACTAACCTTTTCAAGGCTGTGGGTTGTTTTCCAGAGAGCCTGATGTCACTGTTGTTGTGCTGAAGTGACATGGAACATTTGGAAGAAAGTAACTACTAGATTTTCCAAACTCAGTCCTGTAATGAAGAGGAACTACTATCGAGCATAGTAGGAACTACAACGCCCTGGAACCAGGCACATAGGATTAGAGGACTACCTGTATATACCATTATACTAAATCTTTTATACATAGTTTTGTTAATAGTCAGTTGGTATACTTTACCTTCTTCAAAAGAAAAATTGTTAGAGATTAATATGAAGTTACCATTTCAATCAAAAAAAAAAAAAAAACAAATAATTTCTCACAGGCAACATTACTCTTCCTCAAAAATCTTCTTCTCTACAGTTGAACTTTTCACACAGGCTATGACATGTGCTAGACACAACTTCTCAGTTTGAGGAGTGTAGAGAAGCAGCAGATTGTGTACGTTGTATTAGTGTTCATCTGATGTAACATATCATCTGTATTTTATTTTGCATTCATGTATTTGTTATTCAGTCCCTCAGAGACCTCTTTGTAATTGGAAATAATATTTGTCAGTAACATATTAGACTCTTTAGGAGTGGAGGTCAACCGATTCCTTTTAACAACACTGTATACTGTTCTTTGGTTTTCCCTCTCACTCCTCAACTAATTGACTGAACCTAGGGTAGATATTTCTTCCTAGGTTACACTTAAGTACACAGAAAGATATTTTATTCAACGAACAGGGATCGGAAAAAGTTCTTTTACATAAAATTTCATATACTGGTACTGGGATGTAGACACTCTCTCATACTGACTCCCGGTTTGAGACTTTGAGTAGTGATTTTACCTTGGGTTCTGATGTAGTTATCCTCATTGTAAGTAACACTCTCTCCAAGCTTCTAGAAACTTCATCTTCAGTTTTCCCAGTAATCAACAGAAGTTGGCCTTTTGGTTCTGTCAACAGATCAAATTACAAATTATTAAGAGATAATCGATGCATAATATATAAATATATAAAATGTAACCCCAATCACATCACAGCCCACCCAGTATACTGCTGTATGTCCCAAATAGCATCAGCTACAAAGTTTAGAAATAAATCAAGAAAGGGCCCATGTGAAAATTTGGGTTAATTCTCCAGATACAGATTTAGTTTACACTATTGTGACCTATGATCAGCTTTTTAATATATTTTTATTTTTCTGTTTTCCTCCTTTTATGCTCTCTAGCCTTCCTCAAATATAATCTTCTGAGGATCAAGGAAGGAAACTGTTGGCTTTATCCTTTCAAAAGTATGCTTTATGTGTGAGGCTGCAAGCTAGAGGAAGACTTATTAAACCCTTAGCAACAGTCAAATTTTTCTTCAGAATGGGCAAACAATTTACCTGGAGAAATGAAATTGCATGAAAGTGCAATCTGGATTGCTGTACTTTGCTTATCTCCAGTCAGCATCCAAAAGTTAATTCCTGCCTTCCTAAGTGTTTCAATTGTTTCTGGAACTCCATCCTTTATATATAAAAATAAAAAATGAATAAAATTTCAGTAAAATGTTTTATTAGTAACAACATAGTATAAAAATTCAACCTTTCTGTAATATTTTTTAGACAAAAACATCACTTCTATAAAACTATGCTACATCTGTGATATTAGCAAGTATTAAATGGTCTAATAGCAACAACATTCACCTGTAGACGGTCCTCTATTGCAGTGACACCAAGTATTTCTAAGTCATGCTCTAACCTTTGGCAGACCTCAGCTAGTCTCCACTAATAAATAAATAAATAAATAGTGATTAGGCAAGGCAATAATGGTGTATGTCATTGAAAACAAGGTAGGAAGATAATGCGCCCTTTACCTCTCTATCAACCAATGTACTATTTGCTTCTTTAAACAACAAAGACCACTCTCGATATTCATCTTCCTTCAATTCACGCCAAGCCAAACATAAAGTGCGTAATCCTAATTGAGCATAATGTTCCACAGCTTCAATGAAAGTCCTTATTTGTTGTCCTGAGATTTAATCATCACATAAACACTTTAGCATTTAAAATACCATACGTGAATTTTGTCACAACAAAAAATGCACACATAAATTGTGGATGGTAAACATCAAAGAACTTAGTAACCACTTTATACCTATGCAGCACAGATATGGATACAGAAACAGACACATACAGGAAACAGTGAATTGACTCCAGATTTACAGGATACTGGGACATGAAGATGGAGATAAGTATAATATCAATCTTCTAGATTTCGACCTTCCCCTTTCTTAACGGTATATATCTTAAAAATAAGTTTTATTCTATGGATTTTGTGAATTAATCGCTATCCATATTCTCATTTTCTTTTCACCAGCAGCAAAAACTTCTATTAATGATAAAGAAGGGATTTAACATTATTTTAAATAGAATTAATTGCTATCCATTATTATATGCTTTGGAATTTAACAGTGGATATGGCTTTAAATAGAAAGGATTGGTGAAACAGGATTAATGTAGCCAACCCCATACAGTTGGGATAAGGCATGGATGATGATGATGTCATGATGATATTCTTTGGACTTTGCATTTTTATTGTTCTACTAATAAAAGCTGATAGTGTAATAGATGGATTAAAGCTCCTTTCCACTCTTTTAGTACTATTTTAATTTGAAAAGGGAAAAACACTGAAAACATATCCATGGCTTACAATACCTGCATCATACTGATACATGTATCCAGAACATATTCTGTCAGCACTAAGCCCCTAGCCCAATGTTTTGGGAAATCATAATTGTACAGTAAATAACAGTTGAAGGTTGAATTGAACTAAAACAAATCTTATCAAATATCAAAATATACTTGGCCCCTTGGAAAGTCAATTATCTCCCTTGATAGATGTTTTATTAAAAAGTGTGCTGTCTCCCATCCCCTTGTATTTGCTTTCAATGTATGCAATCCGACTGGTATAGAACATCTCATTGAAAATAAAATGCGAGACACCAAAGAGGGTTGTAAGCCAAGACACCAAAGAGGGTTGGATGAAGAATTATGGCTAAAAATGGAGGGTGGTTTTGGAGATTTGGTGAGAATGGAGAATTATGGAGGGTGGTAGTGGCTTAATAAGGGTCTAGAAACTTGCAATGGGACCCAGGGGTATCAAACAAATCTCATGGATGTTCTGGTTTAAAGGGTATTGGGAGAGCTTACAACCTATTCTCAAAGGGTGTAAGGTTCAAGTTTGGAGATGGACTTCAGGTAAAATTCTGGAGGGATGTGTGATGTGTGTGAATAAACCCTAGTTGATTCTAGGTCAAAGTAGAGAAGAAGAAAGAAGAAAGAAAAGAGAAAGAAGAAGAAGGAGAGGAGAAGAGTGTTCGGCCAGACTAGAAGAGAGGATGTTCAAAAATCACTCTCCTAGCCAACCCACTTGACTTTTATTCATAAAACTTGAGTTACAAGAAAGA